CCGACCGCGCTGCACGACGCCCTTTACGCCAGGCCGCGCGGCGCGGCGCGCTTGACGGCGCGCGGGGCCCTAGCAACCACCGTTGCCATGGGAAACGGGCCGGGAGCGGGGGGCGGGGCTTTGTGAGGCGCCGCTCTGCGCCTGCGCGCGCTGGAGCCTCACGTGACACCCCCTCTGAGCCTGCCCAGCTTTTTACTGACGTCACTCTTGGTCCGTGGCTAGCCAGCAGGGCTCCAACCCCTGACCTCGCACAGCGGGCGAGGGCATGACCTCTGACTCCGGACCCCACACAGCCAATCCAGAACCTGGACCCTGCCCAGCCAGCATACCTCCACCCCGAACAGGCGTGACCTCTGATCCCTGCCCAGCCCACATGGGAAATGTAGTGGTACCGGTTGCACCGCCTTGCACAGGAGAAGCTTGTTTGATGTGTTTTGCTCCGCTGACAGGCAGCATCGTTTTGCTGAGCTGGCTGCATCTGTGCTAGGAGGATGCAGGGCGTTTAGCGCCATTTGAGTGCCAAGGTCCAGCTCGCCATGTGCCAGCGGGTCACAGGAGCTCGCTTTGAAGGGGAGAGAGGTGGCTGCAACGTGTCAAATCCTAAAATCCCCAGGGAGAAGACGACCGGCTTGAAAATGGATATGTTACGCTGGAGTCCGGTTTAGACGTTGTCTAATGTTGGTTTGTTTGGTCAAGACATTTCCACAATACGGGCCCAACCCACCCCAAATCAATGGCTTTTCCTTTTCGAACCACTTCAAAATCCATGTGTATGGGCAACAATGTTAAAAATTAGCATGGGATTTGAGTAGACTTTATAGTGCAAACCAGAGATCATTTGGTCAAGGGGTTCCCATGATGCAGCCTCACAAAATGAGCAGCTTTAAAAGAAAAAAAATAGATTCTTGTCACTCTTTTTGCATAGAGTTAGGGGAAAGTGGCTTTGATCCTCATAAACTGTAGATCACCAGACTGGCCTTAGTTCCATTTTTCAGCAGTAGCAAGAATCATTTTTGAAAAGTAAAAAGCTTTTGGACTCGCAAGAAACTTCTGGGGGGTCAAACAGGTGTGTGAGGGTATGCCTACACTGCAGGCAATCTGCATCCCCCAGCCCCATACCATCCGTACTCAGAGCCCGATGTGCATGCTTTGGGGTAAGCTGAGCCCCAGCTGGCCTGCTCATCCAGGGCCCAGATGAAAGACGAAAGATGTGGCATCTGTGCTTACCGCCATTTCCCACCTCTCTGGGCTTGTGCTTCCTCAGAGTTTTTGGGGGAGTGACGTGCTGCGTACTACACTTACTTGTCGGCTTACGGGAACGAAACACCAAAGCTTGAGCCTTAGTAACATGAGTTCAGATGCTGTCCTCAGGAGATGAGGTTGCTGTGCTCATAAGCTGTCTTCTAATCGGTCCCTGGGGCTCCTGGTGGAAGCAGGATGTGCAATTTTGATGACTTTTTGCCCTCTGTCAATATGCCTCCAATGCCCCTTTGTCCCAAGCCCTGCTCGGGATGGACTGGTGAGCGCTTATGATGATAATGCACTTATGATACAACCACATCTCTATAGCCACCCAGCTGTAAGACTCATTGTGATGCAGTCAATGGAAACGTCTGCCCAGTGTGCAGGGGCAGTTAAAACCAGCCCAAATGACAGGGAAAGGAACTGAAATGATGTGATGATACGAGTCAAGTGCCCTCTCTTTGAGAACTGCATTAGGTCACCATGTCCCCACCTCTGCCTCTGGCAAAAAAGATATAGTAGACACAGAAGGGGTTCAGAGAGGGGAAATGAAATGTGTTAGACCACAGTCATGTTTTGTAGGGCATTGAAAACAGGCTCTCCCTTTCCTTATATCCAGCCCCATTCCTGCTCCTGGTTCCTCCTTCAATCTGTCTCTCCCCTTCTGCAATATTAATCCCTAGTCCCGCTCCTTGGGCTCCTCACCAAGCTCGGTCCCCCCATGCACACCCTGACTTCTTGCTGCAGGCTCTCCTCTTCCTGATTTAGTATTATTATTGTTGTTGTAGCTGAGACTGGATTAATATGAGGTCATGGATCAGGACCCCATTCTGCTAGGTGCTGTGCAAAAAGCAAGATGCTCCTTATGCACAAGAGCTTACACTCTACTTTTTCCAGTCTCTGCCCCACTTGCACCCAACTCCCGACCTCCTTGTTACATCCCCCCAATCCCCCCTCACAGCTTCTTAGTCCTAGACTAGTCCAGCTATTCCCAGTCTCAGCTGATCTCTATAATTCTCCCCAATCATCTGGCTCCCAGTCCTCCTGTTCCTTATGATCTTTGATACCAGTTTGCTCACCAGCACCCAGTCCCAATCTCACTATTGGCCCCAGTCTGAATCACAGCTTCACTCCCTTCTCTCAAACTACAGGGTCAGAAGACTCCTTGTTCCAGTTTACTTCTTTCCCTCCCCCTTGCTCTGGTTTCCTTCCCTCTGCATTTGAATCAGAAGGTTTGATAAGGCTTCTTAAATCAACAGAAGGGAAATTGTGCAAATTAAGTTTCTGTGTAACCCGTTCAGGTATAAACGCTTTGTTTTTCACAGTGTAAGAGGATGTTGTAGCTATGATGGTCCAGAAATTATGTGAGAGGCAGGGATTTCTCAGGGCGATAGCTTTTATTGTGTAGTTGGGATAGAGTTAGACAATGCTTTTGAAACTTGTCTAACTCTACCTCAACTGCAGGTGGTCAAATAAAAGACATCACCCCAAGAAATCCTTGTCTCTAGCTTGTTTTTCTGCTGCTTTGTATGTAGTAAACGATTCAAATACAAACATGGGTGTGTATGGTGGG